ACACACACACACATATATATACACAGAAGAACACAATAAAAGGCGTCAACAATCGAAGCCTTTACAGATTGTTTCATTCAGACAACTCTTGTTTGATGGAAAACATGGGTCTTTGATATTATAGTTTCTTTTACACTCAAAACATCTAAGCTTTGATATTATAAATCACACAAAAGCACATATATTTAAGCTGAAGATTACATAAAAACCAAGCCTTTGAAGAACTGTTCAATTCCCTTACGCCTTTGCAACTGCATCACCTGCAGATGTTGCTGGTTGTGGGGAAGGTTTGAGCATGATTTCTACGTTGTCATGGACTCCTTGCAGCAGCAGCTCGCCATCATATGCCACAAATTTCCGTTTCTTAGCGGCCCGCAGAGTCCCAACTAAGGCTTCAAATATATTTGCACACTTATCGTCATGAAACAGCACACCAAATGTTACCTTCAGAGAGATCAAAACTAATGTCAAAACAGTGTCAAGTATCAAAAGCTTGAAGCAGAACAAGAGGTTCAAATGAATGCAGAAAGTCGTGCAATTGTTATTCTCTTTGTATGACTTGTAGATGCATTTTTAAGGACTTCTAGTCTTGGCCGTCAATATCAACTCTTCAGTGGAAGAGAATATATATTAGAATAGAGCTACATCAAGAGACACGAAATACAAACATTATATCCAAATGGACTGAGGCTTAGTTTGTGATTGTTGTGCTTTTGGAAGAAGTTCTACATTTAATTGTAGCAAAAGCAGAAGCAGAAGCAGAAAGAAAAGTTAAAAAACACAAACTTCTCCAAATAACTATAAAAGTGCATTCGTATTACTATTTACGCAATGTGTTTTTGGACACTTTTACCAAACACACTACTTCCATTATGCGTAAAGGACTTTTAGGGCCTCCAAAAGCAATACTAAATTGAACCTTAATCAATGTAGAATGATCCTAAAATGTGCAAACAATTGGACGGCGATAAAGTTCTTACAGTAGCGCAGGGTGTACTTGTAAATATGATGAAAAGAAGTGTGAGGAGGCTGAGAGAACAAAAATTATTGATCGAAAGTTGAGTCGAAGGCTCAATGTAAACAAGATAGATTAAAACTAACATAAAATGAAGTTATGAGCATCACCAATAACGTACTGAGAAATGATTGTAGTTTCACGCATATTGATCAAAACATGCTAAAAATCATGATCATCTGTGGTTATTTTGTGATCGCAATTGTTCTCACAAAAACAATCAGAAATTACCATGAAAAACTGCTAATTTATGGTCTTAGAGT